TCTTGATACATATGAACACATGCTACATAAAACAAGAAAATATATAAACATGGCTGTTTAAAAGCCAGTTGGAAAGCATAATAACCCAAAATATACATCACACTATCTTAACAAAATAATGTTTAATGATGACAGTTTAAGTTTGCAATTACATAGCATTCTTCAGCAAAATATCACTTCTACTTATGGCAAAAGATTTAAAACTGCAAAAACAACTGAAGCATTTATTCATTTATATGCCATTTCAAGATGAAAAACCCTGCCAAGGGCAACACTGTAGTAGTGCAGCACATCTTTCTCTTTTTTTCTTTTAAAGAGCAGTAAAGGTAAAAAGAAGTTTAAACAAAAAACCAAGGCACTATCTACATCTACTGGCAATATCTAATGATCAATGGATCTGCTACTGCAATAAATTTGCTTAAAACAAAGCTCTTCCTTTAATGGTTTTTACACAGCAGGATCCTGATATGAAGAGGGGATGACTGATGCTGGCTTGCAATATGGCCCTATAGTAAACTATGCCAGTATTACTATCAAATCACCTCTTATGAAACTCCCTTTCTGCCCACCATGCAATCAATTTAACAAAGATCTAAACAACTTATAGTTCAAACATTCAAATAAATCCCACTCTCCTTCTTCCCCTCTCCTCTTATTAGAAGAATGGTAAGTCACAAGTCACTGGAACAGTCCCAGAAATTATTTTATCGGTTTACTTTTATTGACAAGATTGCATATTGAATTAGAGTCAAGGAAAAGGAGCAATGGCTTCACACTTCCATGATACATGAGAAATGAAGATGAGTACCAATTCCAAGGCACAACACTATGAATTACACCTGACTGCAGAAGCTCACTCACATTATGTCTATAAAAGAGCAAAAATAAAGCATTATCCATATGAAATTTCGTATCCGTTTTCTTCCCATAATGAAAATACCTGGTACATCACACTACAGGGTTTTACATAAAAGCAAACAGGTGGCAAGAAAAAGTCCATCATCCATCCGGAATAAACACTACTTTCAGTTTGATAATCTCCAAAACAAATGAACTGACATAAACCTACAAGGGAAATAAAGAAAAATACAGTAGAGAAAAGAAGGTAAATTACTGAGAAGCCCCCTTTCTCCAGTCTGGAATCTCTCTTCTCCATCCTGAAGTAAAACCAGTTCAATCACACTCACATCACAAAGGCCGCAATCAGGGATGATGGCTTATTTACCCTAAAACAGAACATGAAACTTCTGCCCCTCACAGCTGCTCCCCTGCTACAAGCGAGTTCAGCTTCCAGTCCATCAGGCACAGAATAGCCTGTAAACTCTTCAGGGCACAGACCACCTTTTTGTTATGTGCTTAGGAGAACAACCAGAATAATAACGTCCTGATCCAGCGGCTACCATGAACTACTTCAATATTATTAGAGTGGTTTTCTCTTGCTTCATGATTCAACCATGCTCTCCCCGAAAAATACTTGTAGCCTTAAGTTTTCCCATCATTCTGGCTAGCCAGCATGCGGCAAAAACATCTTCAGAGGCCAGCTGCTCTTCTTGAGGCCGACATCCTGAAACAATTGACTTTATACATTCCTCAAAAAGTTGTGACAACTCAAAACTAGGACTTTGCACCAATGTTAAGTGCAAAACCCAACAAAAATCAATGTAAAAAGACAAGAAAATGGTTAGTGAAGGATACAGAAAACTTGGAGGGAATGCATTTGCAAGCTGGAAAGAAAGAGCAAAACCAAGGATGACAGACAGAAAGGATGATGGATTGTATGACAGAGTACCTCAGTTTGCTCATCGACAGGATTATATAAACAGGAAGTACTGACATTTTTAAGAGTAGAAATAAGGAAGATACACCAACTGGTGCAACAGGTATTATATGATTTTGTAGTTATTTAGAATTCTACTTAGAATATGTAAAGCTAATATGACATCACAGCATTACAGAACCACATAGGTTCAAAGAGACCTTCAGAGAGAGGTCACACAGTCAAACCCCCAATTCAAAGCAAGTCTAGCAAGAACAGGGTGTTTGGGGGCCTTGTCTAGTTGAATTTTGAGCATCTCCAAGGATGGTGATTCCCGTCTGGGCTCCTTCCTGTGTTTGAAAACCCTCACGTAATTTTGTGGGTTTGTTGGGGTTTCGTTTTTTTTTTGTTTGTTTGTTTTGGGGTTGTTTTTTTGTTGTTGTTGTTGTTTTGGGGGTTTTTTTCTTTTACCAAGTTGTAACTTCCCTTGTCCTGGCCTGTCCCCACTGCCTCTTGTCCTTCCATTGTGCACCTCTGAAATGAGTTTGGCTCTGCTCACTCCCACATCCTTCCATTAGGTAGCTGTAAACAGCGGTAAGATCTCCCCTGGGCTTTCTCATCATAAAGCTGCCCAATATATCAAATTCAGTGACCTCTGTCCTTTAAACTCCAAAAAAGATATAAATGTCTACTCCTATTTCTCTTGTTAAAATTTTAATCAAGTAAACTCTTTATTTTTAAATTATTTTCAAAAGATAATCAGTCTCATATAAGCAAAGATGTATGTTTAAATAAGCACAGTTTTTAAAATTTTTGTCTCAGCAGCAGAATTCGACATACATTCCCAACTGTTTTGTTATCCCAGTATTAATTTTCGTATTGTACACTGGTTACCACTTGACGGTAACTCTACTGTGCATCATCAGCAGAAAAAGAACACTGTTGCTGAAGAGTCAAAAGTATAGACTTCAACTTCTTGTATTAGAAATATAGTTTCTAGATTAGCAGTTCCCAAAGAATGGGAAAGAACACAGTGGTGAGGTTTTACAGAGAAAAACATGAGAGAGGAGGTGTACACTTGATGACCCTTCTTGAGAAGGGGGGAAGGGCAGCCATGGAACCAATCCGGAGCTGGGGAAAAAAGGGGCAAACCCCAAGGTATTAAGAACTACTTATTATTTCTGTGAAATAGTCCCATGTACACACAAATACTCCAGGAAAAGCCTGTGTAATTCAGAATCTGGGATCAGAGTTCAAAATTTAAGAGGCTGACGACTACTGAAGAACAGGACAACCAACTGGTGATTCACAAACCACGAAGAATTTCAGGTGAGATTCTCACACTAAGGATTAGTCAGCTGACTTTGCAGTCAGGCAAAAATGCCTATTGACCTTGAGATGCCTGTATCACCCTTGGAGCCTGGATTTAGACACTCCCTCAACGTACCCTCAGATCCTCAAAGAAGAAATTTGGCTACATCGAGGTGAATCTGTCCCTGCCTTTCTCTTCACCTCAGTTCTCTGAGGTCCATAATGTATGGAAGGCTTTACTCTCCCCTTTTGCCTTTACCCTCTTCTACGATACCCCTCGCTTCATCACGCCAACCTTCACTTTACTGGCTATGATGGCAAGTGATGTAATTGGAACACGTATCAACAGATAAATCGGTATCTTGTTATTTCATAAGTCCTATATAGTTGGTATGTTTTGTATATTTTTAAAATAAAATACACAGTCCATTCAGCTGACAGTATTTAAGATATGATGAAGTGTCCAAGGCAGCAAAAAAATCCATTTCAGTTTCACAAACCGTGATATGTAGACATTGGAGCAGCTGTGTTTCTTCTATCTCATAGGCTGTATTACTAGGACTTTATCTGCTAAGACTTTACCAAGATGCTTATGAATAGTATTTTCAAGTCGGGGAAATCAAGAATCTAATGCCAAAGTAAAAAGGGAGAAAATTAAATTTAAAGACACAACTGCAGTCTTTAAAGTCACAGTTACATATAATCGAAAAGATGGAAAGGGATGACATTTACAAGAATATCATAGATACAATTAAGGATTCTATTTCATAAACCATCCAGCATTTTAATGAAAAAAGTTAATTCTCAATGGAATTTTAAAATGTAGATGAAGAAAAATTAACATGTAATTACACAGTGAAATTATCATAGCTTTATTTTAAAATCAAAGGAGGGGAGCCTCCTGTATCATTGCTACTTACAGCATCTTTTGTTAGTTTATTTTACACACTATTTTTATTTCCAGCTAAGATTTCTACACTGCACCAGCATTAGCCCAAAATGTTAATCAACCATGCCTGACAGAATTCCCCAGTGATCTGCAGCAAGTGCTGATGCTTCCAGTAATACCCAGTCTTGGGTAACTCACTTTTGTTAGATTTCCCAGGATGGCGAGTATGCTTTAGTTTCATCCTTCCATTTCCAGATCACCTCTCTGTGATTAACAGAGCTGAGACGGCAGACAGAACTGAGCCTACACATTCAGCTGCATCAGCTATGGACATCCATTTTGTTCAGTATCTAAAATCCGTCTGTTTCTCAAGCTCTGGGAAGCAGACCAATACACTATCGCTTCTGATCTTAGTTAAAAACAGAATCACTTTAAATGAATTTTAATGGCTGACATACAAAGCACAATTCAAGAACAGAAATGGATATTGAATTATGCAGTTTCACTAACTGGATGTGCAAACTGACAACATTCAAATTAATAGCTGTAATATCAATTAAAAATATCTCCTAAGAAGCTCCCTTAACAAAGCAGCTCCAAAATGCCTTGAACACGTCTATTCTCAAATGAAATAACATGAAAAACAAAACAGTAGTGACCACATTAGATGCAGGAGCTCTCAACAACATCTGTCTTGTGAGGGGAAAACAAAACAAAAGCAAGGAAAAACTCCAGCTTCTACTGACACCTGATCAAGAAACTGCGACTTATTTTTAAAAGCAGAATTAATAGTTACTGGGGTATGCATACTGTATTTTTTCAAAAATCTGATAGAAAATAAAGCCTGAAAGTGCGTGCAGATGTATTTGCGCGTATCTCCCCAAAGACTCTTCAGAAGGACATTGTCTTATTCCGTGTTTATTTAATTTTGCTTTTAACACTGTTCTCTCAAAAAGGGGTCGGGTGGGTTTTGTTCATTTCACACAGACCATTTTTACGCTTCCAGCTCCAGAGTGACTGTCAGTAGCGGTGGACGGCGCTTACCTGCTGAGCCTGGTACCTCTGCTGAGCCTGCGATAGATATTGCGCCTGGGGTGGCAGGTGCTGAGGCTGCGGCTGCTGGTTGTAGTACGGCTGTTGGCCCTGCTGGCAGTAGCCACTTACACCTTGCTGACCATACTGAGGCGGTATCTGTTGGAAGAGCCAAGCAAAGCAAATGCGTGAGTTGAGGCAGGAGGACACGAAGTCAAGCTATGTCACATCTGTATGGCAACCTGATCAGAAGTGATATGCTCAGCTCCACACCTGACCCAACGGTCCTACTCTTTTACTCAACAGTTAACGCAAGCCCTTCCTTGCCTGAGCAGGAGGAGTAAGCCCGAGTGTTCTGTAGAGTTACTCTTTTCAGGAAGACCTTCTAAGGAAAATGCTATGCTTCTGAACATCACGATCCCATAATGCCCAGCCTTCAAATACAGCAGCAGTTATTTTAAATGTTTGCTCTCCATGGGCACACTACTGAGGCAAATCGACAGAGGAATCATTCTGATGCCTGACCCAAAAGCAGAATTGTGGAAAAAAGGAACTACTCTAAAATAGACATTGAACGAGAAATGCCTTTTTTTTTTAAAGCAGTAAAGTACTAATTTTTGTGAAAAGTTTTGCCCACAACCCTCAGGTTTTTAGTGTTTGCGTATTTAAGCCTTACACAAAAAACTTGTGGTTTGGCAGGTCTTTGGTTTTGTCAAGTTCAATCTCTCTCAGTCTCCTCCCCCCCACTAAGATCTGTCTTTTTTTAAAAACAAAAACAAAACACCAGTGCAACACAAAATAACCTGTTACTGGTCCTACTAACAGACAAATCAATATGTGTATCATGCACTGAGAACACACCCCCCACCCCCCCGAGAATTTAAGTTACAACCAAAAGCAAGTCAATTACAACGTCAGAGGAATTTTCTGCATCAGTTTAGTCTGTAAGCCTTGTATCAACAGACACTGACATTTTCTTGAGATATCTGAAAGAGCTCACTTTCAACAAGCTCCTGATACTGTGTCTATATTGCCCCAATTTTAGGTAACCATGCTTTTCCCCAGACACTGGTCTTTAGTACCATTTCAGGTGAATGACAGATGCAACACAGGACTCCTCCCTTTTAGAATGGGTCTCCTGTTAGTCCTGCACATCCCTGCCCTAAGCAAATGTCTCAGATACCTAAGCACACCTGAAATGCTTTGATCTCTCAACTGTTCCCACTGAGTTTCTGATACACCGATAAATCTGTTTATTCAACATGTAAACATATACCTGTTCTACCTAAACTTAACTTCCTACATTCATTCAACAATACAGTAATATTTGCTAGACTATAATACTAATAATAATAATACAAAGTCAAATTTAAACACCTGTTTATGATGTTTTTACTATCACAACTTCATCTGCTCCTATCACTTCTACCAGAAGTTTGTAGTCTTACTTCTTGCTAACTCCTAAGGTCAGCCCTGTAACCCCACTTCTGCACTTGTTCTCTTTGCTTGTGCTTCCATGTCCTTCACCATCATTTCACAGGCACTTAGATGTTTCTGCAACCAAAGCAACCCTGACAAACACCCTTTCCCTGCTGATGCATAAATGAGGTTGTTACAATGCAAACTGAAAAGAGTGTGTTGGAATATCATCAGGCAAACAGACAGCTGGAGTCCAGGATCTGGCAGAAGACCACACGGTGATTTGCCCGTCAACTGCAAAGGTCAGAGAGCCTGGACTGGTTCCTAGGAAATGCTGAGGAGAAACCTGTGTTGTGGTCCACCTGGGTCCCAGTAACACTAGGAAGAAAAGATATCCTGACAGAAAAATATAGGCTTCTAGAAAGAAGAAGAAAAGGAAAAATTGGGTGCCTGGTTGACAGGATGGTGACAAAGCAGAAGATCAGATTAATCAGGAATTTCTAGAATAAAGACACTTGTACAGGAGGGCTGGAGCTCACCTGAACATAGGAGCCAGGTTGCTGGTACCTAAGGATCAAGAAAGTGACATTTTAAAATCGAAGAGAGGGGATTAGAAGAGAATGGGTTCAAAAGCATGGCATTGCTATGACAAATGAAGACATGGAGATTCTGGGTCATCAAATGAAGATGCAGAGAAGAATCAAAAAAATTAAAACAGATACACAGATGACTGCATAGTGAATAAGGTGGCAAGAAGAAAATCCAACAGCACATTGCCTTCTACACAAAGGGGGTGAGTGGAAGAAAAACTGGGTCACTGAACATTAAGCCTCAACCAATAGCACTGGCAGTAGTCATATCAGAAATCTGGTAGAAGGGAGACATTTAGTGGGTTCCAACTTTGCATCATCCTAGGATACAAATGCATAGGTAAGACAGCTGATGACAAAGTAACATTATATGCCATACAGAGTTTAGAAACAAATCAAAACACCTCACCTCACCAAGCAGCAGAGGCTTGGAGCCTGGTTGGATCAGGAAGAGTGAGTGCTGGGGCCACCAGGCATGGCTGGACTACAGCAACGCTGACAGCGGCACACCGAGTGAGATCAAAGGCACGGTGCAAGGCTGGATAGAGGGAGATTTCAAGTCCTCCCAGGTAGACTGAGCAAGTAGAGTAACAAAGTAGAGACTGAAGCATCAGATAACTGCCAAAGGTTGTTCCATGGAGCTGCTGGCTAGGGAACACGCATGAGGAGCCACTGCCTTTGGCTCAGTCCTGAGCAGCACGATTCATCTACTTCTACATCCTACAGTTGCAGAACCACTGCAGATCAGTGACCATAACACAGTTAAATTGAGCATCCCTACAGGAACAATAAAAACCAAGGAATCTACTACTGTTGTGCTTAACTTCAAAAAGTGTAACTACATAAAATGGAGAAAACTTGTTAAAAGGAAGCTCTAACAGCTACAAAAAATAAAATCTGACTGGCAGCAAAGCTGCTTAACAACCATCACATGTAAAGCACAGAACCAATATTGACCACCTATTCAGAAAGACTTGAGAAGAGCAAAGGGACATCAGCATGGCTCATTGCAGGTTTCTAAAAGCAAAAAGGCATCATTCAATAAGCTGACACCAAATCCAAATGAAGAAAACAGAAAAGACTAAACTCTGGCACTTCAAATGTAATAAGACAGGCCAGAAAGAACTGGAGAACAGCTAGGAAAGGGAATCAAATGAGTAATGAATCATTTCTTCAAACACATCAGGAGCAGGAGGTCTGCCAGAGAGTATGAAGTGCCAAGTGATGATCAAGGTATAAAAGCAGATTCAGAGAAAATAAGGCCATCACAGAGAAACTTAACAATTTTTTTGCACTAGTGTGCACTCTGGAAAAATCTTGGGAGGTTCCCACGCTGGAGTCCTCCTTTGTGAGGGACTCGATGAATGTGTCTGAATCCGATGGGACTAGTCACGGAACAAACTGACAAACGAATGGTAAGAAATGCTCGAGACCATACAGTATCATCCCAGAGGTCTAAACAAATGCAAGAATGAAATAACTGAATTACTAATGACAGTGCACAGCCTGTATCTCAGGCCTGCCTTGGCAGGTGAGAATTGAAGTATGGCTTTTTAAAATAAGGGGGGGGGGAGGAGGAGCAAAAATTTGAGTAATTTGAAACTATAAAGGACCGATGACTGTTCTGGATAAATCAGGACAGATAGGTCAGAATTAGGAAACATCAACACAGCTTTTGCAAAGGAAAATATCTCTCTACAGACCACTTGGACTTACTAGAAAGGGTCAAACACAAAGGTTCATAAAAATGCAACAAGAATGATCAAAGGTATGGAACAGTTTCCATACAAAGGAGCTATGACCCTTCAAGTATGGAAAAGGCACTAGGAAGTAAAAATATGCTAAAAAACTACAAAACCATCTTATCCAACACAACACTTAAGAGGCATTAAATGGTAGAATCAAACTTTAAAACAAGAGAGAGAGGTTCTCTGCTCACAGAGGTAGCAGATGTTTGAAACTCCTTGCCAAATAATGTTTTGAAAGCTGAAAGTTTATGTGGGCTCAAGCAAAGACTGGACAAGTTCACAAAAGATACATCCTCTGAGGGTTACCAAATATATAGAGCCACATCTGGCTCAGGAAGTCCCTGAACTGAAAATAGCTGGAGGCTCAGAGAGTAGTGGGGGAAGTATCACATGCTTGCTTTGTTCTGACTCTTCTCTAGGCGTCCAATTACAGTCTCCACTGGAGGCAGGATATGGGGCTGCATGAACCCTTGATCTGACCTGGTATAGCGATGCCCATGTTCTAACCACCTCTTTGCAATAGATGTTTGCATCCTGTGAATAAGCAAGAACAATTTGGTGTGTGAGGTACTAAGTAACAGATGTAAGTAACCTGAAAAGGCAATAACACCTTGATTGCCAGAAGCTGGGAGACTACTCCAATTTCTTAAATGTTTTCCCTAGCAATCTACTTCCAGATACTGATGTAAAAAAAGAGTACTGGGCTGTTCTTCTGACCTTATGTATCAGTTACTTATGTTGGCATTTTCCTCCATATTCTCCCAATCCAAACTGTTAAAACAAACAAACAAAAACCCACAACAATAATCGTAGTGCTACAAGTACTTTTAGATGCTATACTCTTCAGTGCAGAGACCCATCACCGTTGCCTTAGCGGAACACTCAGAAATTATTCTGTAGCTATTTAAATAAATAACAAACAACCACATGCAAATTAATCCTCCTGCTTTACTGATGGAGATCGCAAGATACCGCTTATGGACAAATGTTTATTAAACAGCATATAAAAAAAGCTTAATTAAAATCTCCCCAGAACAAAACAAATCTGAAGCCAATTACTTACAATGCTTGGAGTGAATGACCCAAGCACCCTCCTTCTACATAAAGTAAACCCTCCCTTGTTTTCTCCCCTACACCCACATTCTTTGTGGCCACACAACACAGGAGATGAAGATTTGGGAAACTTCAGCATGCCTGTGGCAAAGCACACATTCTTGGGATGGTTCAAGAGAGAACAGACCTGAGCTTGAATCTATTTCTAGGCAAGCACAGAAACTGAAATAATTACTTTGCCTCCTATCATCTGACTTACACAGTACAAATAGCATTATTTTGGGAGAAGTATGACTGACCATCAGTGATTAAACCACTCTGAACACAAAGAAAGGATGAGAATAAAAGA